CCAGGTGTCAGACGCCTACTGAAATCAGTTATAGTACGTAGACAATAGCAAATCGACAAATCCGGTCAGCGTAACAGGACCTCAACGTAAACTTATATTTAGATGCCCAACTTCAGCGACCTCAGGATGCTGCGTTGGAAGTTTTGTTTCCACTGCAATTTCAAGGAGGTCCGACTGCAATTCTTCCGTTTATTTCGCCGAGACAATCACGCTTCCTTCTTTTTAGAAATGGTCCAGATATAATTATATAGCTACACGCAAGGTAAACAAACCCCAGCCACCTGTTTTACGGGGACAGTGCTTATAGGAATTTTTACAGGTGGGACCGGGGAATGCACAGGCAACGAGGCCAAGTATTTATATGCAAAAGAAAGGCCACTGGGAATGCGCGTTTGTACTTGCAGTGGTTGAAAAGTTATTATCCTAATCCTTAACCATAACCCCTAATTCTAACACCTAACCCTCAATCCTAACCATAACCCCTAATTGCTAATCCTACCCCCAACCGTAATGCGTCCATCAGATGCGGCTTCATGACCATATCCTACCGAAAATTGCTTTGGGTGATTTCCAAAGACTAAGCTGCATGCGTTTAATGCGGGACCATTAATGGTGCCTTGCAATCTTATTTTCTCGACTTTGCCAATAAAAACATTTGCAAGGAACGGTCCAAGCGGTGAGCCATTGTCACACCATCTGCCTGCCCGTATAGTTGACCATTGCACTGAAACTGGACATTTCTATGCAAAACGTCAGTTGTTCTTTTAGCGTTTTCACGGGCCTGTCTATGGCGTAGTTCGTATCACGAATAACACCACAAAGATAATTTACTGTTTCTGACAGGGGTACGTTGGTAACTAGCGATGATACATCCAGTGATAACATCCTCCGTTTGGCAACGTTAATATTTTTGATAGCTTCGACGAACTCAAAACAGTCTTTTAAACTTCCAGGGTACAGATAGCTTTGCAATAGCTTTAGTCTTTACACCAGCCATTTTGCAACGATATGATAGTGCGAATTCCTCATATCCAAGATTGGACGTAGAGGCAACCCTTGTTTGTGAATTTAAGGAAGGCCGTATATTCCTGGTATTGTTGAGCCCACCGGTCTCAGTCGTTCATAATCTTTGCCAAACAAATGGATTTCTTTGCAGAGATCTTTGAGAATAGTCGTCAACTGACCCTCGACAGCCTCCGTGAAATCCTTATCTTTCTCGGATTTTGAGAACTTGGAACGATCCGACAATATTTCTTCTAGTTTCGCCACATAACCCGTTCTATCCATCAGCACTATTCCTGAACCTTTATCCGGTCTGGTAAGCACAATGTTTTGTTTTTACGAAGTTCCCTAAGACTATCGATATGGGCCCTTGTCAAGTGACCCTTGTTTCTCGGGGCCTTCCTTAGATACTGTTGGCAGCAGTTAACCAGAGTCGACTTAAGACAATCAACTTCTCTAGCTTCGGTAGGTTTTAGATCTGCAGTCTGACTAAAGAGAATCACAAATCGGATTTCTAGCTCTAATTGGTTCGGCATTCGTCCTGCAATACAAAATTTAGGGCCAAGACCTAGTACCTCTACGAGAGCTTTATCAAGACGTGCTGAGGAATAATTATGCACGTACAGTTCCGGATTGTTCGGAAGGACGGTCTGAGGTTTTGCTGACTGGACGCTTCGTAGGAGCTTAGTCCACCTGGTCTCCATTCTTTTAAAAGACTCCCTTGATTTCATCGAAGCTATTAAAAATATTAACGTTGGCGAACGGAGGACGTTATCACTGGATGTATCATCACTGTTTAAAAACGTACCCCTGTCAGAAACAATAAATAGTCTTTGTGATACGAACTACCCCACAGACATGTCGTGAAAACGCTAAAAGAACAACTGACGTTTTGCATAGAAATGTCCAGTTTCAGTGCAATGGTCAACTATACGGGCAGGCAGATGGTGTGCCAATGGCTCACCGCTTGGATCGTTCCTTGCTAATGCTTTTATGGGCAAAGTCGAGAAAATAAGATTGCAAGGCACAATTAATGGCTTCGTCTTCTACGGTCGGTACGTGGACGATATCTTCTGCCTGGCGGATGGTACCACCGATAACGATGACCCTGTCCAAAAGTTCAACAGCGCGCACCCCTCGCTAAAGTTCACTGCAGAGGCCGAGGCAGATAACGAAATTGCGTTTTTCGATGTCGTTCTGCACAGGCAGGATGATGGGTCTATCCAGCGCACGGTGTTCCGAAAGAAAACCTGGACGGGACAATACGTTCGTTTCCACAGTTTTGTTCTCCTACGCATCAAGCGAAAGTTAGTCTAGGGATTGGCGGCTAGAGTGAGACGCATCTGCTCACCTGAAACTATTGAAGAAGAGCTCCAACAGCTGCGGAACACACTCCGCGAGAACGGATAGCCAGATAGATTTATCCTCCGAAGTATTGGTGAACGCTCCGCAAAGCCCACTGTTGCGACTGTGGAAAAGAAAGAGGTATTCATAAGATTGCCTTTTGAAGGAGACGCAAAGAGCGGACTAATCAGACGGTCCTTAACGACAGCTATCACGAGGGCATTCCCCGCGGCGAATTTACGCGTATGCTTCACAAACTCTCCCTTCCTACGTTTGGGAGGTAAAGACAGACTACCGTTGGAGTCCACAGCAGGTGCATCTGCTCATTTACTGGTTAGATTGCAGTTGGTAGCCGCGAATCTGGAGGCAGACGGCCAGGTCCCTGTCGTATGGTAATGGTGGGAAAGAGAGTTATATGGGTGGGAAAATGGAAGGGCTTGTAAAGGAATGCTGGATTTCTTGGGTAAAAGTAAAGTTAACAGGGAAAATGCTGGGAAGTTTTAAGCAGGTAGAATAATGACATAAATTTAAATCCTACGCTTAACCCTAAAATCCAATCCTGACTGCAAACATACGGCCTAACTCTGAACCTCAAAACCTAAACTTAACCAAAATCCTAAAACCCAACGCTAACCCAAAACCTAGCCATAAACCTAACCCGAACCTTGACCCCGACTCCGACCCTAACCATAGCCTTAACCGTAACCCTAACGGGAACCTAAACCCTAACACTGAAACCTGACCCTAAAACGCAAATCCTAATCCTAAAACTTAATCTACGCCTAACCCTAAGCCTCACTAAACCCAACAGCCTGACCGAAACGGACGACCTGCCTAACTCAGTAAGAGCACACCTACTGATAACAAGTACGTACGTCGACAATATCAACGTATAATGTATGGCTACCAACTGCGATCTTACCCATTTACTTGCTCCTGTGGAGCGGGATACATGGGCCGCACAACGAGACGCCTAGTAAAGAGGGTGCGTGAATATATGCCCGCCTAGCTAGACAGAGGTGAGACCCGGTCGATTTCGAGTTCTATTCTCGCACTTTTATTCGATACGAATCACCAAGTCGATGCCAAGGAAGCATTTCAGGTTGTCTACCGGGCACCAACATGCTTCTCTAAAGGCGTACGTTGGCGGAGAGTAGCAACGGCCGAGGCAGTGGCTATACGGCTAGCAAATCCGGTGTTATACTGTCAGAAAACCCTGACACAAGCGCTCCCTCTGCCGTGGCTAACGTCAGTCCCAAGCGATGATGACATGCCACCCCAAATCCCTAATTACGGTGATGGGTACTCCGTGTATTCAGTCTAAGAACATCACTCAAAGACTCTTTTACCCCCCCCTCCTAGCTCCGCGGACCAAAACCCACGATCTTGTCATGCGAGCGGCGTGGGGAAGATGAGTGTTAATGACTTAATAGCCCTTGAGACACCTATAAAAATGTTGATTTTGTACATTTTCATTCCTTCATTTAGCTGTATTGGCCGGAAGAAGAATAACCGAAAACACGTGTTTGCCAACTTGACTTTTCAAGTGTAACATGAGAATATTTGCGGAACTATTTCAAAACTGATGAAACTGTTATTATGCCCATGCATTCTGAGATTTAAACTTAAAGTAAGTCTTCTTTGGCGTTTCTGCCAGAAAGTAACGGATTGAATTATCCGCATGTGTGATCCGAAATATCGCCACCAACGCGTTCTTTCTTTCTCTTTTAACAGCGACAGGTTGGTTTCTGCTATGAATAACGGAACTAAAGTACACGTGATTTCTCTCGCACAACAATCCTATGACTCATACGTTTTTGCACTTCTCTGTATTCTTAGAGATGATATTTGCGTTTAATGCTAATTTAGTAACACCTCTATTTGGCATCCCTCGCCCTCTCAAATGAAAGTTTTTAATGAATATCATGGGAGTCATTGATAATATTTGTGAGCGTCCTTATTACGGAGAAAACGACGGATTCTTATTCATGCGTCTTCGGTAATAAGCCCAAAGTAGTACACTCATGTGACCCTTGTCTTTTTTCGTCAATATCAAGCTTATTAAACGAATCTGCCATACGGATAAACATAAGATCATGTGATTTGTTATCTCAGTGGCCGTCATCTTACTGAATCTGATAGGTTAACGAAATCCATTAGCAGGTCCTTACTATCCCCACTTCTCACATTCCCAAAATAAAGGCCTCAGTCACAAATGAGCGCTGATATAATGCACTAGAAGATAGAAAATGGTGAGGAGCCTAAGTGTATCTGGTGGGAGGCGATAATTAACTGTCCCTCTCTCGTCCTCTACTCCCTGTATGTCCTTAGTGCAGACCCATTGTCATACTGCAGCCAACTCAAATGACCTTATGGTTCTCCGAGCTTAAATGACATGTAGACACTCTTAATACGCACATGATGAATACCAAAGGGTAATGAGCTGACAAAACTGTAGTGGCCAACCATGTCTGGTTTCTGGAAAAACTTTCGGGTGATGGAGAACGTTATTGTGATTCTTACGTTGGCTCTCTCCTCAATTCAACCTGTCTGGCCTCTGTGTTCTTCAAAAAGTGTTCTAGGGTGATGAATATTTTAATTGCCATTTGAACGACGTCAATACTGCTTCATAGTTTTGTACTTTTGCCTTGGCAATGATCAACTTCGTCCGGAGAACAGGAGTGAAGATTGTAATTACAACTTACAAAGCCAACCGCATCACGCTTATCAACGCCAAAAGAGCTGCTTACAAACGTCGCCGGCCAACAGTTCCAATAAGCGGCCCTTCCATCATGCCCACGATGCTGACGGAAATTTCGCGCACGAACAGGCCTCTTCGGGCATTTCTGGACCCAACATATTATGAACACGACAACTCCTCCTCCCATCTCAGTAACCGACCTCAACTCCACCGCACTACCGCAACATCCCGCTATGTCGACATCCAACACCACCGGCGCGCCAACTCCCGGTGCTCCGTCGCTCAGCACCACCTTCTCCAACATTACCACAATCCCCGCGCCGACGGCGACAACAACCACCACCACAACCTAACCATGGACTGGAACAGTTCCCGATGACTTGTCACTCACGA